AAAAAAAAAAAAAAAAGAAAAGAAAAGAAAAGAAAGAAAGAAAGCTAAACGGAAGATGTCTATAGCAAACACGATTAAATTCTAAGCCACCATTCAAGGCGACTTCGTTGAACTGGGACTACGAGCGACCCGACGAATCGACATGTCCGCCGCCGACCTTGAACCCGCGGGACGTACTGCAGGTCGCATTTCTGGTTGAGCAGGAAGAAGGACAACAGGATGGACTGGAGAATCTGCAAAAGGACATAAAGCGGGATGGTCGGGCGACATTAGGTCAATTATCGATCGAATGGCGAGGTGCTATGGGAGACAAGGGATTCCTGACAACGGGCAATCTCTTGACGCGACGACGGGCGTAGACATAGAGCAAAGAAACAAATTCCAGGAACCTGCGGTGACAGGATACACGACAGGATTGGCAAGGCGTTGGTGCATACATTGGACAGGATGGGAATCTTCCGCGACGGCCATTACTTATCTTGTGTGACTGCAGCTGCACTGATAATGCTAGACTGAGTCAGGGGCATACGAAGCAGTACTCTTGTAGAAGTTCAGCTCCGACTGCGATTCGAACCGATATACTGCAAAAAATATTTTTAATATTTTTTTTTTTTTTTGAAAACCCCAGGGTCAGATGTTTTAGATCTACCAAAGAATACCATTGTCTGCATAGTAGCAATGCCACATACCAGAGCTCTTTATACATATAGAAGATCGCAGGGCAGCTAAGCCGGGGAATCCTTGAACTGGGCAGAGACTAACAAGGACTAATGCCGCTCTACAACCATAGCGAGAGCAAGTCAACCCCGACCATCTGATAGTGCGATAGTGTATATAAAATACTCCGTATATAGAACACAGAAAAGAACATCACACCATAATCGGTACTCCGTACGGAGGTACCAGTACTTTGCATGTACAAGTAGTCAGTAGACTGGCATAGTTTCCGCACGCACGTAGCACCGAGTGCCCCGCGAGGAGGACTCGAGCGTTGGATCTAGACTTTGAGGGGGAAGAAGTGGTCTGAGAGCAATCATGATGGACGATACTATCGACGGACTATGCGGGAAGCAGTGTCATTTTTGGTAGGTATTTGGTGATAATTAACTCGGTTGAGGATGATTAAGGTACATCCCGTCTGTCAGTGTGTACTCTACATACTCCGGAGTACAGTAGCATTAGTAGTGTACAAGTATGCTGCTGTGGGTATATGCACGACGGAAGACTCCAACCCCGTTCAGGTCCATTTACCAGATTGAGAGGCAGGAACAGCAAGGCATAATCAAATGCGCCATGGGTCGTTTCAGGAGAGACTGTTTGGAGGTTGGTTCTCTAGTATTCTATCATTGACTGCTACTATGTATAATCATAGATAAAGATACGTGGTAAAACAAAGCAGAATAAGTGCACTATCATGCAGCAAACAAACAAAAATTATTCTATAATTATGATAATAAAACCACGGTAATAAATCCATAAAAAAAAGGAGGTTTTTTATTTTTCATTTTCTGGCCTCGTTTCAAGCCGGTCCTCCTTTTGCTCTCTTACTGTTACTTACTCCTTTTCCTTCCCCAGTCGATCCATCATCCCCTCTTCTTTTCCACACTCTTTCTCTTCTCATCTCTTTTCTATTCTTGTTCTATCTCTCTTTTCTATTCTTCTCTCCTCTTTTTTCTCTCTTCCTTCTTAATATCTCTCCCCGCCCAATTCCTTATACTTATATCATTACCTGTCATTACAATCCCCCAACTCCGTCTCCAACCTCCGCCAGAACCACCGCTGATCGTTGTATCCTCCCCCCCCCTCTCCCGAACTGACCATTGACCTTTGAATCGGAGACAAACAAACAATCCTGATCCAGACCAACTCGCATAAAGTGTCTAGAAAAAAAGCAAATATTTCAAACAACAAAAGCCAAGATCTGAGACCCCTGTACCATACGAGGCCAAAAAAAAAATTAAATTAAAAAGGAAAGAGAAAAAGTTGATGACCACTCGCGCGCCCGCAATTCCAATCCGCCCACGAGATGCCATTCTCTTCTACTTCTACTTCCTCTTCCTCGACGCCTGAGGCGTCTGCGACTCCTCTTGCGGATTATTTTTGGATTGCTGGTGTGGATGGGACCGAGATTCTCGATACCTTTCGCCGCTTAGGAGACGAATACCGAGCCAACAGCGCCACTTCCCCCGGCCCCGCGCTTGCTGATACTATCGAGGAGGATGCAGATGCTGAAGAGGCTCATGATCCCCGGCTGGACGGGCTCTCCAGACCTGGTTCTGCTAACGGGAATCGGGACTCCGTTCAACGCTTGTCGTTTCGTTCAGAGGATCCGGATCCCCACCCCAATGGTTCCAGCAGTAACCGCAGCAGCATGACCATAAAGGGAAACGGTGGTAATGGAGGAAATGGTGATGGTGCAGGGGATAATGATGGCACTGCTACTCCAGCTGCGATTTCGCCGCGAACCTCGGCGCTGATCTACGATTCGGGTCACTTTGATTTCGACAAGGCGCTGCTCAAGTTCGCTTCGGAGAGAGAGTCCTTTCTGTCGGATCTGAGTCTCAGTGCGGGTGCGATCACCCCGAACAACCGGCCTAGGTCCCGTTTACGCACCCAAAAAATCGTTTCGGAAGAGAACTCGACAGGGGGCGGCAATCTGCTTCGTTCTGGAATTGGCAGTGTGCGCCGGCACATGGCGTTTCGCGACATGAACAGTATGAAGAGACAGCCCTCTGTGGCCCGTCAAGGTGAGATTCGCATTCACAGAAAGGGGAGAGAGGGTATTGATTGACAGGTTCATCTGCAGCATCGATACGAACTTCGCGACGCCTGAGTAACTACAATTCCGTTATTCCAGCTCCGCAACCACTCGAAATCTCCCCCACTATGCATCCTTTGAAACGTCGATTTGAACCTGTCCTGCTTGATAGATACCCCACCAAAGGCATGCCTGATGAGTTGAAGCAACGGTGCAACTTCCCCGATTATGTGCCCATGTTTGCCTTCCCGAATGATATCAACATCGTTTCCTCCGATCAGAGACCACGCTCTACCTGGCATGGTTTTGTCATGACCACCGACACCGGTGCGAGAATTCACGCCATTTGCGTCATCATCTGGATTCCCCTAAACCCGCAGGCGGCTGAAGAACTCGAGAAACGTTGCGAGGAGTGGCGCAAGGACAACATGACCGATGAAGAACGGGAACTGGCTGCCAGTCTCGGAGAACGATTGGCCTCTGAGCGTGCGAAGCTATCCCGGCTGCTTGCGGAGCTACCAACAGTCCCCTCGGGCTCGGAACAGAGAGAGCAATTGGAAGACGATATCAGTGCAGTGGAGGAGAAGATTGGGTTGATGACCGATCTCTTGCGCCCTGTTCGTCATGGAGCTGCTTCCAAAATTGAGGGTCTCACGGATGGCGATACGGGTTTCTGGATCCCCCGCGCATACGGAATTTTGGGCCGCGAAGCCAGCATGACCAGCTTGTGGAAAGAGTGGTTGAAAGCGGTCATCGTTCCCATGACTGAGGGCATCCAGCGTGTACCTCCCAGTTCGCCGCGCATGGGTATCTGGCAGCCTTTGGAGCGATACGTCATGAACCTCTGCACTGAAGCATTTAGTCCCAATGCTTCAAAGACACAGGTTGAGTTATCGGTCAGGGAATTGCGTCTGTTTGCGCGCAAGGAGGCCAGTAATGAATTGCCCGGTTCGCGTAATGTACGTTCCCTTTGCCCTCATTTATGGGTGTTCGCTCTAACATTTGCTAGACTGATATTTTTGCTCTATTCCGAGCTCTATCGGTACCTAATATCGTTATTTTGTTTGAGGTGGGTGCAATTTGTCAGGAGTGAGGTGGGAAAGTGAAAAAGCTAACACCAGACAGTATGCATTAACGGAATCACGTATCATCTTCTTATCCTCTCATACATCAATGCTCTATCTGGCTACCAAGGCCCTGGTCGATCTCTTATTCCCTATCCAATGGACCGGCGTCCTCATTCCAATTCTTCCCGCTCGTCTAATCCAGGCCCTCGAAGCACCGTGCCCGTACATCGTGGGCATTGAACGCCGATATGAAAAGGTGGAATTGCCATCCGACGACTTCGTCCTGGTTGACTTGGACTCCGACATGATCGAGAGTACAATTAGGCCCACTCCGCTGCCGCGACACCAACGCCGGAAATTGCTGTCGCTGCTCCAATTGGCGGCCCCTCACCACAATCGCTGCGGTGTGCCTACCGGTCCTCCCGCGTATGCCGTCGAAACCTATCCGTTCGATTCCTTCATGTCTGAGAATCCTTTCATCTTCAATCCCAAGGCGCAGCCCACCCAATTGGCCAAATACGTCAGTCTCAATTCGAGTTCTTTTGGCCAGAACTCGAACCCCCAGAACCCGTACCAGCCACCTATCTTCAATGCCTATCTGCAAGCTCGCAATGAATCGGTGTCCAGGGGCTACTCATCCAAGGGATCTGATAGACCAGGGACGGGCTCCACTTCGAAGACAGGGTCTCCACCATCCCCAAGGATGGATACCTCGCCCACCTCAGGTCACTTCCCTCCGCCAGGATCGCGCACGGATTCGGGTTTGGCTCTTCAGGCATCCCTGCGGGAAAAACGATCCGGTCACTTTGATGCGACGTCCCGGCGGAGCTCCTCGTTCGGCATGGACATGAAGACAGGTATCCCCCGACGTCCCAGTGCGCCTTTCTTGGGCCACACGCCTAACCTGTCCGTCACGACTCTGAACACCGATTATAACCCTGGGTCGACCTATGCGCCATCCGTGTATGCGCAGTCCACCGTCGCTGCATCCACGATTGTCCCGACGGCCTCTCCTCCGCCTATCCACAACTCGGAAGGCACGTGTTGGGTGGAGGGACATTGCTTGCAGGTCCAGCCTTGGGACGACAAGGCCATCTGCGCGATCTGCAATGACCGGGCCGAAGAAGGAATGTACAAATGCAGCGCCTGCAAGACCGTTGTGCACAACCAGTGTGCTCTGCAGATATGTATTGTGTGTCCGGCCGCGTTCCACCCAGAGCAGGTTCGTGCGGCTTTTGTCCGGTGCTTCGCCAGTTTGTTCTACACGTACAAGAAGTTTCTGCAACCGCCTACTGGTGATAAGAAGAAGTCTGGTTTGTACTACAGTTTCAATATGGAGGCATTTATGAAGAGCTTGCCGGGTGAACATGCGGAGTACATCGCTGTTTTGTCACAGACTCAAGGTATTTTCCTTTCGGCTATTCTTTGCTAAGGAGGCGTGTTAACAATGGACCAGGATTCAACGAATTTATCAGCGAGAGAGAGTATTCCAATCCGAAGTCGAAGAACAAGGATCCGCGCATGACCCTCTTTGATGAGATCGTCCTGTCTAAGCGCAACCGTGGTCGCTCTTCGATTTTCTCTGGCCGGAGCACAACAGACTTCCTGTCTGACACTTCGAACCATCTCTGGCGGACAGCTAGTGCGGCGTCAGTTGCACCTAGCAGTCGGAATCAGCAGAGTATCTCTGAAGATTTCAGCCGTATGGCAGTCAAAGGTCTGTCCATTTTTATATCCAATGTCCATGAATTTTGCTGACCTATACAGCACCGGCGAAACTCGAAACAAGCCTGATGAAAGACCCTCGCATGATTCATGGGGTGCCTCGACCGTCCAAGGCGGCGAACAAGGCCACTCGGAAGCCACTTCCAAAGCTCATGAATGGGTTGACTATTACACCTCCGTAGAGGAGGTTGCTATCCAGCATGATACGCGAAGTGAATGCGAAGCCTTGAGGCAGCGCTCTTACCTCGTCTCGGATTTCTTGCGGTCTTCGCTTGTCCGTTTCCACTGGCGCGACGAACATCTATCCATTCATAATGGATCACTTTGGAAATAAACAGTACAAATTGGATGTTTGGAACAAACTCTACGACAGATGAGGGTGAAGAATGAAAACTACAAAAAAAAAAAAAGAAGCATGACATCTCGAGACGATACCGTTGATTGCCCGTGACGAATTTCCTTTCCCATATTCGAGCAAGACACGGCACACGGCACACGGCACACCCGATTTAATGATACTCATGGCATGCGATTGTCGATATCTATTTTTACCGATGTTGAAGAAAATTCTAAGTTTCGGGAGGTACATAAAACTCATACACAGTCATACATATGCTTTTATTTCTGTTCGTCTTTCTGGATTATTGACGATTTGAGGCCCATTCTACAACTACATAATTGGGCACGGCTTTTTGGGTAAATCTTCTTTGGTTGTGGTTTATTTTTTTCTTTTTTGGTCTTGCTTCGATTCATCTCCTGTATTTTCCTGTCCTCTTACTTTGTTACATTGTTCTTATTCTTCGTTTAAGTTGGTTGGTTGTTTGATATGTTCTCGTGTGTTTTCTTAATACCCCATTTTTATCCCCCACTTCCTCGGTCAATTTGGATAGTACTGTTATAACCATTACTATTGGATTGAACAATGAATCAATGCTGGATCATGTTTCTCTAGATGATTTCTTTCCGAATCGTATTCGTTTACCTTGGCTAGTTACGCTGCCAGTCAGCCGATTGTATCTACTACTTGACCAGACTAACCCATTTCTCGCAACAACATCGGGTGACAATCTTGGTTAATATGTACTGCCACGAGACGAGGAATCATCATGAAAAAAAGTCGGGATGAAGCGCACCGCGTGGTTGCGGGGACTGGGGAAATATATTAAAATCTGGGGAATGACGAACATGCTCGGACACCAGTTTAGTCCGGAGTGCTATACTCCATGATATATAGGGAAGCGATTGACGAGTATGATATTATAAAAGCAGGGAATTCCCTAGAAAATAAGACAGACTCGGTTGGTATGCATACGGAAATCCCCCGTCATCATGCTCTCCTATACCCTCTTCCCCATCTTCCTCTTGCTATCCCTCGTACAACCCACTCTCAGCACAAACACAACAGAAAAACCGCGCATATTTATCCTATCCGACATCCTCAACGAGCCTGACGACTCACAATCACTCGTCCGCTATCTGCTCTACTCGAACGAGTTCCAGACAGAAGGCATAGTAGCCACAACATCGACATGGCTTCCGAATGAGACACATCCAGAGGCCATTCGCGAGATTATTCGTGCGTATGGGAGTGTAGTAGGTAATCTAAACCAGCATGTACCAGAGTATAAACAGTATTCTTCTGCTGAGGAGTTGCTCGATGTCGTTTTTTCGGGGCCTACCGTACGCCTACACCCCTATGCCATGGTGCTATTTGAAGGCTAACAAGTCAGGTCTATGGCAAACAAGCCTTACGAAACAATACCACCCTCAGCCCCGGCGCAACCCGCCTAATCAAATCCCTCAAATCCTCAAACGCAACCCTCCACATTCCCATCTGGGGCGGCACAAACACTCTCGCTCAAGCCCTCCAGCACATTACCCACACCCGCACCCCAACGGAAGCGAAGACCCTCCGCTCCCGCCTCCGCATATACACCATCTCCGATCAAGATGACACGGGGCCCTGGCTGAGAGCAACATATCCGGACTTGTTCTACATTGCATCGAGACATGCGTGGAAGGCGTACTCCCTTGCGACTTGGACGGGGATATCGACGATGGGTCTTTCACCGGCGGCGAATGACAGTATTGTGCAGAATGAGTGGTTGAAGAGGTTTATCCAAAAGGGGGAGTTGGGGGGTGTTTACCCGGATATTGAGTATACGATGGAAGGGGACTCACCGAGTTTGCTGTACTTTATCCCGAATGGACTGGGATATATTGATAAACCAGAATGGGGGAGTTGGGGTGGTCGATATTCACCTCTGTCAAATGATCCCTGTGAGACGCAGTTCGGTGATACCATTGATACAATATATTACACCTCTGGGAATAAGACTGAGACCAAGAAGTCGAACCATGCAACTGTCTTTCGCTGGCGCAGTGCGTTTCAGACGGACTTTGCAGCGAGGATGCAATGGACGCTTTCTCCGAATTATGCTTCCGCGCGCCATCCGCCTGTTATTCGTGTGAATGGGAGTGAGGGCTTGGAGCCGTTGTTCATCAACGTGCGACTGAACCATTCCATTATCTTCGACGCAAGCGAAACACTCAACACAGACCAGCATGGCGATCTACAATTCGAATGGTACCAATACCAAGAGCCCTCCTACCTACCGAACCCCAGCCCACAAAGCAACGAGAAACTGAACATCGAACCACTCTCGGGTGGACAAACCATTAAGCTTAATGAGCAGAGATTTGAGGACGCCGTTCGCGCAAAGAAGATTAGGGTTACGTTGCCGGCAGCGCAGGATGCAGAGATGGTAGATGGGTATCATTTGATATTGCAGGTTAGTACTGGGGGGGAGGTGCCGATTACGAGGTATAAGAGGATTGTTTTGGTGGCTTAGTATAGCCGAATGCCTTGACAATCTAGTGCATATATTCGAATAGGATATCTCTCTGTAGATAGGGCACATATCAACCTCTTTTGTATAGAGTACACGTTCACACATATTCCCCTATGATTGGCTTGATTCATATCTAGAGCGATATAGACTAGGCCAAGAATGGCTAGCACCACTACATAACTACCCATTTATGCACACTATACAACACTAATATAACGCATGACATCATCCATCACGGCTCTATCCGTATCTATCCGTATCTCCCCGCCAGCTCAGCCCCATACAAAGTACAGTACAAATATCCTTATCTACAGGCCAAGTACCTGATTCAAACCAAACACGAAACACCCTTCAATAAATACAGAGCACAATGGCCACCCTCGACGAACTCTCCCAACACCGCAACTGGTTCCGTGGGAGCCCAGACTTCCCCTTTACCTCGCTCGTGGAAGCGTACATGGTCGATGAAACCGATCTACCAACTACTGTATCTAAGATCGTGAAGCCAGTGGACGAGGCATATTCATCTGGCGACGCTAGTGCGTTCCCTCCTGGACACTATCCAGTGCTAGAACTGGAATGCTGATAATGAGATACAGAGAAAACCGAAGTCCTCCTCTGGGACCTCTGGTACACCATCCTCTGGACCGCAAAAAAGACATCTCGCGTCGATCCCGCAGACCAAAAACCCCCAGCGGCAGTCCTAGATCCCTCTACACCCTCCAAGGGCCTCACAAAACTCCTTTCCCTCCTCGAAAACCTGAAATCACAACCAGACCCCCCGTTTCCGTCAATCATCGACCAGAAAACCAAGGATAATTGGATCTACGAAGACGGCAAGCTCTGGTCCGTGCTTAATATATTCGGGCCCGCGACGAGGGAGATATTGAATGATTCACCCGGTGCGGGGAGCGGTTATGAGGATCTTGAAATTGGGGGGTGGGAGAATCTAAATGCATTTTTGGCGCATGTGACGAGGAGGGAGATTGCGGATATGGGGCGGGTTGGGATCTTTGAGCTGCGGCGTGCGCTGGAGCAGAGGCATAAGGATGATACTAAGGGGGAGGTTCCTGTGAAGGAGGCGCGGAAGGTGCGGGCTTTTGTTGCGGCGGCAGGGATGTGGGTAATAATTATGGGGGAGGAGTTGTGGGCGAGGAAGGGAGAGAAGAAGAGTGAGAAAGAGGGGGCTGAATCTGGGGTGCGGGCGAAGGGGGATGTTATCACGAAGGAACGGTGGAAGCTGTGGATTGAGAAATTGGAGTTTTTGAGTTGTAGGGAGGATTTGGATATTGATACCCGGGAGTTGGCGGCGCAGGGGGCTGCTATTTTGATGCGTGTGCATACTTGATTGTTTTGATTATTGATAGCTTGGTAGAAATGAATTACTGTATATAGAATGATGCAATATATACTGGCTGTTAAGAAAATCGTATCCCCTGGTTGGGATTCCACGGCCCCGGCTGACCCTGACCCCTTCCTGCTGGTGATCCTCCGAATCGTATCCCCATCTCCGGTGACCATATCCCCGGCGTTGGAACGGGCACCGATGCGCGTGTTGGTTGTGGTGCTTGCAACGGTTCCCCGGTCGCTGATGGTCGTGGTTGCGGCTGAGGCTGTGGCGGCGATGGAGCTGGAGCTGGAGCTTGCGGTTGCACCACTGGTTTTGGCTGTGGTTGGGGTTGGAGTTGAGGTTGAGGTTGCGGCTTTTGCTGGACGGGCTGAGGCTGAGGCTGGCTATACGCAGACGGATGGCTTGCTGGCTGCTGGCGGAAATGCGGTTGAGAGATGTTAAGCGATGCCATTGCCGCAACGCTCGAGATTTCACTGTCCAGTCAGTATACATTAATAAACGTCCAAGGAGAGGAACATACGCCTCAATCTGACTAGCCTCCATCCTCCTCTGCTGCACAAAAGACTTGCAATCATCCCGGAACCTCCCAACATGCTTCGCAAGGTCGTTATAAAACTTCCTCCCAACTTCAATGTTGGAGAGAATCTCCTTATACTTCAGATACCCATTCTCGAGTTCCTGCAGCGCCTTCTCCCGCGCCTTGGACGAGGCATCGCCGTACTGGGCATTCGTAAATGCGCGGTTGGCTTCGCGCACTTGAGCGGCGACCTGATCCTGGTCGTGCTGTTCTTGTTCGACCATTTGCTTGTCTGAGTCGTAGAGGTGGAGTTTTTCTTCAAAGAGGTCTTCGAATTGGCTTGCTTGGATTGTTTGCATGGGGAATTCGCGCTCCAGACGGGCTGTTTCTCTGACAAGGGAATGGCCTGAGGATTATAATAAGCATGAAAATTCTATTAGTATTTCATGCGTGCACTTACTGATATCATCCGAGCGAGCTTTATCTTTCAGTGTCAGGACCCGTCGCTTCCGTCGGTTCTCCAACCGACTAAGCTCACTCAAGCACCCCCGTAGTCGAATGGTTTCCTGTTCCAACTCCGGCGGAATTGCTGCTCTCCTACTACTAGGCACATAATGCTCGAGGTCACGGTTGGTGCCCGTCAGCACCCGGAAGATCGCCTCGGAATCCTTAATCTTCCTCTCAACAAGGTTGTCGCTGTTCTGCGCAGATGCAAAATATCCATTGATATCATTGAAAGTTGTGTAGATCTTTGGCGCTGCTTTTTCAGACGGTTCCCTCGACCACCGGTCTGTTCCGTATTTCATGCGTGAACTCTCGTCTTCGGCCTTTTCTGCTTGCAGAAGTTCGACGGCCTCCTGGAATACTGCTTTGTCGTTGGTCTTGACCTTGGAAGTATCCTCGAGAGATTTTCGTAGTTCGTTCAGTCCGCCTTGCTGCCGCATTTCTTCAGCGTGCGAGACCAACGTGGGTGGCAGGCCAAGTGGCTTCTCCAGCGCTTGGAGTGAGCCAGGCAGGTTCAAGGATGATAGCAGACTGTACTCATCAGTAGAAGTTCTATGCGGTTTTAACAGGGGGGACATACTCCCTGATCTTGTCCGTCATTGATTCCAGCTCCATGATGATGGTATCATTAATCAATCGATCACGACGATCAGAGTAGATACTGGCTGCGATGTGAACAGCATACGGGACCAGCTTCGAAAACAGTGGTTGACCAAGAGCCCCATTGTCTCCAAGCATGGCAATAGCATCCGTCACCTGCGACGGCGCCTTGGCTGCCACCATACTGGCTCGATCAATGGCCTTGAGCTCCGACTTTGGTGGTACCGGGTTGAGGTAGATCACGTCGTTATCCTTTTCTGCGCGTTTCAGATCCTCCGTCACCCGGTTCTTCAACCCATTCAGATCGCCCAGCACAACGCGATTAATCCATCGCGACTCCTTCAACGCCTCATTCACACATGTCAAACTGTCGCGGAGACGAGCCACCTCTTCACCATACTTTCGTTTTTCGAGACAGTCCAGCGACTGTCGGTACTGCGCAGCCGCAGCGAAGTGGTGATGCTTGGCCGTCGTATGGTGAATCCATTCCGGACTGATTGCATTTGATTTCACGGCAAAGTCCCCAGTATCTGCATAGAAATCCGACACTTTAGCCGCAAGTCGTGCAATCGACGCATCTTTCAACCCATCCTTGACAGCCTTCTGCCAGAAACATTCCTGCGCCTGGGCCAAAAGCAGTTGTTCCAAACTCTGGATTGTCATATCGTCCATATCTTCTGGTGGTGAGGTGCGAATGTCGGACAGAATATCGGTTCGCAGGTTCGTTAGGACCCCAGCTGACTGGCAGAAGTAGTTGCAGGCTTGTTTGAGTCCTTCGGAAGTGGTGCGGTTCACGTTGAATGCTAGTTGCGAGTACAGAGCCGCTAGGTTGAATAGGATATTCGCGAGCTCGAAGCGGAGGTTATTCTGCGAAGCTTGACAATTCCGTCAGTCTGTTTCTCTCCATGCATCCCAAGAGACATACTCGGCCTAGATACGTTCAACCCAAACGCAGGATACCACGGGAATTCCACCCCAACCTATACATCGCAATCAACACTTGCCCTCTTCATCGCAAGGTTCATAGCTCTCATAGTTGTATGAATACTCACGTCTATCGGAAACTTCCCACTCAGCCATTTCAACTGCGCCGCATACGTGACCAACCGACTGATCCCGCTGACATGCGGTTCCTGGACATTGATTGCTTCAGTCCGTAGCCGGTCGATAATCAGCAGATCCTCTGCAAACATATCCGGACGCTGGTCATATTTAGAGGAGATATATTGGGTGATTGCATCCGATAGAGAGACGCCGTGGGAGCGCCGAAAGGGGAGTTGGAGAATGTTGCTGTGCGATGGGCATTAGTTAGCGGGGCAAGGCTAAGAGAATAGTATTTCTTAGGAGAAGAATAGACATACGCTGCCATTATTGAAGCAAGACGAAAGGCGAGCCAGGAGAAGAACCAGAGTCCGCGTTGGGAGTGTCTTAATTTTCTGGTTTGTTGACAGCGAAGGAAAAGCCAAACCCCACTGGGCAACGGATGACGTCCTGGGTGCCTTATGGATCGGGCACCAGCCGCTCTTGATCTACGAAACCATACATTAATTTAGATCTATATTGTATATCCTGAAGCAGTGACTCATGTTATTGCACATGTATGTACGTGGGATCATAATCAATCATCAGACAGAAGAAAAAGCAAACAAACATAAATACCTGATGACAATATTCCCCCGAATCCAAATTTGCAAACAAAAAAAAAAAAAATAAAATAAAATAAAAACTAGAAAAGTAATACAAAATCACCACCTATGCAATGACACGCTATACCTCTAGCTGGTTGATACGCGCCTTGATATATTCAAATAGACTCAACAAGATCATGTTGTTAATGCCTGTCCGGAACAGGATGATAGATATGCCTTTGTACATGCTCGATTTGGAGACGGCCGCTGAGGCCTCTCCGACTTGCTTGGTCTTTCCAAGCAGAACACTCTGCGCGCGTGTTTTGCGGGTATCGAGAGGATAGGTCTAAAAAAGCGTTGTAAGCAATTGTATGCCCAAGCAGGCATGTAGTACTTACACAGAACCAGGGCACGGTACTGCAAACGGCCCCCGCAACCATAGTACCGCCAAACGGAGAAGTGTCAGGGCCTAGTTTTTTAACTGTGATTTGTTTGACAGTCTCGTAGACTCCAAAGTATAGGGCGGACCCAACGCTATCACGCAGAGCATGTAGATGGAACCCGGTGTAAAGGCCACGGAACCCATAGCGCTGGATGATCTGTTTGACCGCTTCAATGGTATTGAGTCGCGGCCTATTGCGCAAATCAGGGTCTCTGACCGCATCAGGGGCCGCCATAGAGCGATTAGATACCAAAACGGAGGTTTGAACAACGTTCTTGGTGAGTTCAAATGGACCTTATACAAAGTGGGTCAGACTTCAATCAAACTAAACGACATATCAAACGGACTTACAGGCCAGAGGTGAGGTAATAGCACCGGCGCAGAATCCAGAAAGGGTGAACGTTAAGATACTCGATGCGGTAGGACCACTACCCGGCTTATTGTATTGTGCCAAAGGATTTTCGCCTGTGATTCTTTCGAAAAAACCGGAGATACTATGCTTTGCGTTGGAGTACGTGGAGAAGTTAATTACACGAACCACCGTGACACTTGCCAAAGGTGGCAGAGCTCCTAAAATAAAGACCACGAGTTAAACCTGAGCTCGAATAGAAGATTGGGGATCAGCGTCAACTAACCAGCAACATAGCCACGCGGTCCCTCTGTCCGCCATAAATAGCGAATACATTGGAAGATATTTGGAAAGTTATGTCTTGTACAAGTCAGTGGTTGTCCGCAGTATTTTGGGCCATTGAAATCGCTCACGTTTGCATACGCGTCTTGACGTTCTCCAGAGGAGTCTGCAAGGAGGCAGGTTTAGTACAGGAGACTTCTTCTTCTCGTTCAATGCCCGATGCGCCGGTCACCTACTACAGCAAGAGTCGCGCAGATGGTCGAAGTGCCCGAGGCCACCTGCGTCTTATACCGCTTGAGAAGTTTGTTGCGAGTCGATTCATCCATTGTCCAGACAGGATTCATAGTAGAGGAATTGGAGAGTGAAGAGGCGAAAGGTGCATGTTCAGAAGGTCTGTCAATAGTCATTCCCGGAAGTAGCCCATCGAGGGCAGACCAAGACTAGTTTGTATTTCCTCCTTTTTGTTTCTTGTGAGATAATTGATTGCCTGTGCAGTGTTCAATATCGGAGCCACTGTTGGCCTGGTGAAAACAGGCTGGGGAACCCTATGGAACGCAAAGCGGTCTCTCAACTTGCGAGCAGACCGTTCGGCGTCCCACAATTGTCCATTAACGTGGGCTTGAGCACCCTTTTCGTAGCCTGCAACTTCTTGAAAGACGAGGAAGATCGTTTTGATCGCGGTAATGTGTATAATTGAGACGACAGAAGTTGAAAGCGGGTGAATACACAGCCGATGCAATTGCCGACTAAGGTGTAGCGAATTTCCCGTGTCTGTATTCCGGGTTGGTTAGAAATCGAAAAGCAGGACGTCTAGAGGGTCTTGGAGGGGAACGAAAGACGTGCGATTCAGAGAACACCCTATAAGAATATCGACGCCACCGGCCATCAGTTAGCTAGCCATACGTTTTTGACGTTTCTTCATATGTCCCTATCTTTTTTTCCGTATGGCCGCGCCAAGGACGAGCAACAAATAGACCACATACCTCTAGACTGATCTAGCATCTGCTCTCTCTGAAAGTAAATTGCAATGCCAATTGCCAGTGAAAACCACAGCAAGATACAATAGCGCCGAACACCGCGGGATGGCTGTTCAACCGAAAATGTTCATCCAGTGATTCTTCGAGAGAAAAGCATGTGGGCCAAGGCGGTGGGCCCATAATACCCCTCCAAATCGGGTTAGCGGCACAGCAGAGTGACGTCTTTGTGAGTCGAGCTAGACTTCTACATACAGAGTATAAGGGTATGAAGATAAGAAGGAAATTGCTGCGGGCTACAGAGATGACTGTACATTGCGGTATTAAACAGTATGATTCGCGACTGTTCTTTTGTGCAAAAGCTAAAAGTGAGCAGCTTACCAAGACTTATGGATGAGGAGGGGATCTATGGAGTATGGAACTGGGTTGATCCACGGTGATTGCTTGTTGCGTGTAATGTGTAGTGATCCTGGGTTTGCCGGGAAATATTTGATGCTGACCCAAGTCTGCTTCTATCCGTTCCTATGGCTCTGTCGTACTCGGGTAAGCACTTTCATGGGCTGGGGGCTGGTGGAAAAAAAAAAAAAAAAAACGCTTGAATCCGAGATAGGCATGCAGTGGCACTCGCAAACATTTGGTGGTGATGAATTGATGTGTCTACGGATGGAGTGGTATGCGAGAGACGATTTGGAATGTGAGGATCCGGATGTCTGCATCTGAAGGATAGCTAATCGACAGCGAAGGCCCACTGTGTAAAGTCTTGACTACTGGCTGCATATTTGGCGATAGGATAAGCTTCAGGACCATCATTGTCTTTGCTATCCAAAGAATATCCTACCAAGGAATGACCTGGACCAACGCTGCGTCTCAGTGGAAGCTGAATATTGCATTTTTACGGGGCAATGATTACATCCAATGACCACAGAAGCAGACGGCTTATAGGTACACGCATACTAGGGGTACTTTGGGGTATAAGTGAAGTCCATCCAAGGATATCATCTGCTATATCTTCCCATTCTATGAGAGATATGCTCGGGAATATGTTGATGGGGTATCAGGCTAAATTTGATATTAGATATGTACCGGGCTAGTATTTTTTGAATGACTAGTACTATTGAATGTCGTTAAGAATAAAGGAATAACTGAATCAGAGGGCGTAGTACGGAGTACATATGCTCAATAGCGAATATCCTCGGGACCTCGGTCTCTCGGTCGCGGCCACGCTCGTTCTCCCCGCAATTGGTTCCCCGTCTACTTCTTCTCTCCGCATTATATCCTGCATTGGGCTAAATTAAAGTCGAGTTAGAATCCTGATTCTGGATTTGTTTTGATTGTTTCTCGCTTGGAGTATTGTTTTCCTTGGATACCATTCCATACTCCGCACCGACACTTATCTACCCCTTATCCGATTTAACAAACAACACTATCTACACGATGGGCAGAAAGGAAGCAGGACCCGCCTACGTCCTAGGCGTTGGCATGACCAAGTTCATCAAGCCCCGTGGCAAGGTTGACTACCATGAGCTGGGCTTCGAAGCCGGTGTTAAGGCCATGCTGGACGCCCATATCAACTACGACGATGTCGACCAGGGAGTTGCATGCTATGTCTACGGTGACAGTACCTGTGGCCAACGGGTCTTCTATCAGTTCGGATTGACCTCGATCCCCATCTACAATGTCAACAACAATTGCTCGACAGGATCCACCGGTTTGGCCATGGGCCGCACCCTGGTCTCTCATGGCGCCGCGGATTGTGTGCTTGTTGTTGGATTCGAGAAGATGAACCCGGGGAGTCTTCAGTCAATGTACCAGGACCGGGCGAACCCGACAGGTCTGCTTGGTAGAATGATGGCAGAGACGAGAGGGATTAGCAACGCTCCCGGCGCGGCTCAGATGTTTGGCAATGCGGGTCGTGAATATATGGAGAAGTATGTTCTTTCAATTCCTTATAAATTACAACCGAATACTAACTGAGATGCGAAGGTACGGAGCCAAGTTAGAAGACTTCGCAGAAATCGCCCGGGTAAACCATGAACACTCCAAGCGCAACCCTTACTCGCAATTCCAGACAGAGTACAGCCTTGAGCAAGTCGTCAAGTCTCCAATGATCCACGAACCCTTGACCAAGCTGCAATGCTGCCCGACCTCGGACGGAGGTGCTGCTGCTGTTGTCGTTTCTCAGGCTTTCCTTGACGCTCGTCCACATCTCAAGGACCAGGCAGTCTTGATCGCTGGCCAGCAGCTGGCGACTGATACCCCCTCGCTCTACAACCGCAGCTCAATTGACCTGATGGGCTTCAGTATGGCCCGCAATGCCTGCCGAGCGGCTATCGCAGAGGCTGGTGTTAACGTGAAGGACATCAAGGTGTGCGAACTGCACGACTGCTTCTCCGCCAACGAGATGATCACCATTGATGCTCTCGAGTTATGCGAGCCCGGCAAGGCGCACGAGATGGTCAGCAAGGGTGACATCACCTACAACGGCAAGATGGTTATCAACCCATCAGGCGGGCTCATTTCCAAGGGCCACCCGCTCGGCGCAACCGGCCTGGCGCAATGTGCGGAATTAGTCTGGCACCTGCGTGGCTGGGCCAACAACCGGTTGATCTCTGGCACGGACGCGGCTTTGCAGCACAACCTGGGATTGGGTGGTGCCGTGGTCGTGACGGTCTACAAGCGCGCTGACGGCAAGACTGCCGCTCCTGTGTCGAGCGCCGAGGTCGCTAAGATTAATGGATTGGGGTACAACCCGGCTGTTGAGGCCAAGGGCTTCACTGCTGAACAGGCCAAGTCGGTTCTGAGCAAGAAGCACGGCGATCAGTGGGCCCTGGCCGATACTCAGGACAAAGTTCTCGCTCGTTTCTAAGCGTTTAGTTATATCCATATTTGACGATGCGTTGACATCCCGTTATAGTAGTCTGCAATCATGTAGTTAATACCGCACTCATTTATGAGCTCTAACTCCTCCGTATTAACACTACCTGATTGGGAAGGTCTCGGCCTAATATTTCCCCGATGCCCCACCACATTCCACCGCCATAAATTTTTTTGCATCGCGATTTTCTCCCTTTTTCCTTTTCTTCTTCTCTCTCATACATATCCCAGGTCTCCAACATACCCTTGTTGATGGTGTAAACGCACCACTCCGTCCACAAATTATAGGCTGAGACCGAGAGAGAAGCTATGCTTAATTACAATCCCGTCACCAGACTGGATTGGTGCACAGGTTCGCTTTGAGCATACATCTTTTGCACGCAGAATTCGGAGGTATCTATCTGTATTTGGACAATGGAATGGATCGATGGATTATTGGAATGAGTCTCTGGAGATCTTATCCAGGAAGAAAATGAACTTCCGTGGCTTGACTCCGTGCATTCGTCAATTGCTCGCCTTGTCTCTCTGCTCGCTAACTCACAGGTAAACAGTATCATAGTACAGGCACTTTCGAAGTCTTGTCTGTCATATCCCCATGATATTCGAGGTCAAATTTGTGCCCAAAATAAGTTCTAACAAGGACCGATGTCCTTCGTTAAATCTCCCTTGTGTTGCGTCCGCTTCTCTTGTATGGAACGAAACGTGTCAATGAAGGGAGAGACATGCCAGTTCGTAGAGCTTCATTCCGTGGAATGTACAACGCTTAACGTTGCATACACATACGCATTGCCTGACAAATGAGCCGGTATTCTGTATGCGTACCTCTATCCTTGCTGTCGGCCGTCGATCAAGGGCGGAAATGTGTGCACGATGCTACCACTGCCTGTATCAAGTTTGGGCCAGAGACTAGACATACTGTCGAGACCGAGACAAGCTTCTCAAACCCAAAGGGGGACCATCCGATTGGGTTCCCTTGCACGAGAGTTGTGATAGAGGCACGTACTTCGAGGCAAACATGCATTCCTGCTCTGAGGATCGCCTTGTCTATGCATACACACGCAAGCCAAATGAAAATAACATCCCTTTGCTCGATAATATAAAGACATGAAAATGATATTGCACGTAGTCCATCTCTCACTCGTTCTTTGCGCTATCTCAGTCCATTCATTAAGACTCGTCCAAATCACTCCTTATCCACTTGGCTACACGCCTGTCCACTCTTTGAGTAAACTTCAACATTCACTTCTAAACGAGACCAAACAACAATCCAAAATGGCCCGTCTCAGCATCTCCATGTTGGCTCTGTGCCTCTTCCTTGCCGTCTTTGCCACTGCCCTCCCTGCTGCCCAGAACAACCGTCCCGACCCCGACGCCTGGACCTTCCACGTACGCCCACCCCCTCTCATCCCCTATGTCTACCCACTCCCAACTAATGATCCTCAGATGGCCGAAGAAATGGCCGATTCCGCGTCGCCCACGCCTGCCCATGGCTCTACCACTCCCTCGCACGCTCACGTGCACGCTCCTGCTTCCTCGGCCACGCCTAGCAACGCTTCGCCGTTGGCGTCCACTACTCCCTCTTCCTCTGCTTCCCCTGCCCCCCCAGAGGAGACTATTAGCGGTGGTAAGAGCAAGAGTGCTTTTGACTCTATCCCGCTTTTTGGTCCTCTGCTTGGATCGCTCTTGGGTTCTTAAATGGGTGAGCTGAGAACCTTGTGATGTGAGTGGAGGGGATAATCCTCGGGGGATAAGTGTGTGTTGTGGTGAAGGTTTATGTACGTATGGATGGATAGTTGAATCCAGGGATGCATTGCAATATAACTAATTAATATTAGTGGGATTTCCTGTAGTAGCTGCATACAGTATAGTTGAACCTCAACGATCAAATCAAGGCCTATACCTTTGTAAAATGGATTCTCGCCAGCCCATATAGTCAGATACAATATGATTTCAATGCGACGTGCCAGCCCGCCTGGTCCTCAATGGGCGGGTGCATATCCGTCTGGCAGCCCTTAAGACTCTGACGGTGTATCGATGTAGTTGAAGTCATGAAATGCGTAGCCCGGTGTGGAGTTTCTCGTCACATTCTACGCACCTTTGAGCGAGCCTCTAGGGATTAGGTCATTCATTCCATATTGAGGTGGTGACAAATCACGAGTTTGCGTTCTGGCTCGCGTTCGCTTTTTGCTGTCCTTCGTAGAGTCCGGTGTAGTACCCGGCATAATACCAAGACATCATCAGGTTCTTTAGTCCTTCATCTTGAACTGGCATATATTAGTACCAGACAGACATTTGGTATTCGCAAAGAGGATAGCTTACCTGATGATAACACTGGATGGGGCATCGGGGTTGCGTCAGCAGGACCCGTCCCAGTTCCAGCCTCAGCAATAGGGTTTGCTTCAGGAGGTTGATACGATTCTGTAGTATCCTGTTCAAAGTCAATATACCACTCCAGGAATAGATACGACAAGAGAAAGCCGTCCGTACCTCTAATACATCCTGTCCAGCCTGATCAAGAACAACCTCCGGAGCCTCAACATCATCAGTCTCCATTTGCTGTTCCTGCTGCTCCTCTTCAGCCTGACTGATCCTCCCCTCGGATTCCTCGGCTTCTGCCTGCCTTAATACATCCTCAACATTCTCACCCTTAGCGTGGATGCTATGATAGAGCTGTTCTCTCGTCAGATAAAGATCACGTGCTCGATCTCGCGGATCAAAAGTTACTCACCTTGTACTCCTCAACGGCTTCCTCCCAGGTCCGTACGAGCGCGGAGTCATCCCATATTTCCTCTTGTGTCAGCGGTTTGGTCGCATTTTTCTTTTTCCCCATGGCTCTGAATTTGTCGTTGTTATTGAAATCTATGGTGTATCTTTGGTAGAGCGGAGGCGGAGCTAAGACGAGAGTTCACCGCTTAGCGCTGTTTCGTCGGGGCAGAAAAAAAGGCAAAAAAGAAGGGGAAAAAAAAAAAAAAGTCCGCATCTGCTGCTTTACACGAACGAACCAGCTTGCGATTTACGTAAATACGTGAAAAGGCAAGAAATATGGCACCGGACAAGAAAGTCATCAAGAGAAAGGGTAAAATAATCTCCATTCCCTTTGTCCAGATGAAAAATGTAATGCTGACCTGAATAGCTGCGGCCGCCGGCGCCAGCGACTCTCCCGCGAAAAAGACCAAGAAGGTCGAGCCTCAACCCAGCGAAGCACCCAAAGCTGCCCCCAAGTCCGCTCTGAAGAACAAGAAGAATGCTCCCGCGGCCAAGGACACCAAGTCTGATGCTGCACCTAAGACCAATGGCGAGAAGGAGCAGTCGAAGAGACAGATCAAGCCTCGCAAGCGCGCTGCCGATTTCCTGAGTAGTGACGAGGAGGATGAGCCTGAGGTGAAGGAGGCTGAGCCAGAGAAGAAGAAATCTACCAACAAGAAGACTAAGAAGGAGGAAGCTCCTAAGGCTGAGAAGGCTAGTACAAAATCTAAGGCTAAGAAACAGCCCACTCCTGAAGAATCTGAGGAGGAAGCCAATGCTTCTGCTCCTGAGGGTAGCGATGATGAGGGCGAGGATGACCAGACGACTGCTCTTATCCGTGGTTTCGAGAGTAGCGGCGACGAAGACGCATCTGATGATGAAGGATTCGATCCCAAACAGCCCGTCCCTAACATCCCCGACTCAAAGAAGGCGAAGCGCAAGATCTTGAAGAAACAGAAAAAGGCTGCCGAGGAGGGTGAAAACCAGACACCCGGTACCGTCTACATTGGGTGAGTCCTACTCTTTTGGATTAGCTCTATCCCGTCGCATCTAATTTTATTCCTCTTAAAGACGTATCCCCCACGGTTTCTACGAGTACCAGATGCGCGCCTACTTCTCGCAATTCGGCGAAATCACTCGTCTGCGTCTCTCCCGCAATCGTATCACCGGTCGCTCTAAGCACTACGCTTTCGTTGAATTCGCCTCGTCCGCTGTCGCCAGAATCGCCGCAGAGACCATGGATAACTACCTGATGTTCGGCCACATCCTGAAGTGCAAATACATCCCCTCCGAACAGCTGCACCCCGACATCTGGAAGGGCGCCAACCGCCGCTTCAAGAGGACCCCGTGGAACAAGATCGAGAAAAAGCGTTTGGAAAAAGGCAAGACTCGCGAACAATGGACGGACCGTATCGAGAAGGAGCAGAAGAAACGTCTCGCCAAGGCTGAGAAGCTCAAGGCTGTCGGCTACGAGGTCGAGCTCCCTGAGCTGATGGATGTGGATGAGGTTCCGGTTCAGGAGGAGCCTAAGGCTATTGAGGATTCGAAGCCTGCTGAGGAGCCCGTGAAAGCCATTGAGGAACCTGTGAAGACCATTGAGGAACCCAAGGAGACCGAGACCAAGAAGGAGAACGATAACCAGAAGAAGACCAAGAAGGAGAAGAAGGAAAAGAAGGTGACCCAGCCTGCTGCTGAGAAGGAGGCTTCCAAGACGGCCGAGGAAGTGAAGGAGCCGAAGAAGGCTGAACCTGCTGCCGCTAAGACTGGAGCGAAGGCGAAGAAGGCCGACAAGAAGAAGACCAAGGCCAAGGCGTAAAATTCTGCTATGTGGTTTGTAATTATGGCATAGGGTATCAAAAGGAGCAATTATATTCATTTAATGCTTAGACTGGTAGTCCTGTATTTCTGTTGTTTGATATGGCTCCTACAAGCATTGAGTAATATGATTGGTCGTCTCCCAAATGAATCACGTGATCATAAATCTCAAAAAAGCTAGCGCGCTCCACCCAACATTAGCCGAATAAAAAAGACCCGAGACTTTTTTTCTCTTCTCTTTTCCTTCCTCTTTCCTCCTCAACTCCTCGCTCAAAGAATCGCATTCAAAGTTTACACACAAGATATCTCTCGATATCTTTTTCCTTTACGGAAAACCAGCTTTGGGAGAAAGTCCCCGGACACCCTGACCATTTCTTCGGAGATGGGCCAGGCAATGCGGAAACGCGCCGCCATAGAAGCAATTTGATAGCGGCTTATACGCCCTATTCCCTCTCAATGCCTCAGTCTATGCCCGACACTGTCAGGTGGTAACAATGGTGGTATAGCTGGGCGTTGGAGAGGGGTTTATTGGGTTGCCTTTCGTCGTGGCTGGATAGTTATGCGATTGCTCTTCTCATTCTCTGGGGGAGTAACTCAATGGGGCTCATTCTTGAGGCGAGGAGTTCACCTTTCTTTTTCTCGAGTCTGTAGCTTATGGCAAAGCGGTGACTGATTGGGACGTCTTCTGGATGATTTCCGTCGGTCACAGAAGCCCTGTCGAAGGGGTCGGACTCTCTTTTCCTCAGTGCTTGCTTTTCCTTACGTTCGCGTGATGATATACCAATCATAGAGTCAAGCCCTGAGACTCCTGCTACGGCACGGGGTTGTTGATTATAAACGATTGTTTTCATATCTGATGAACATCACCAAGACGAGTCTCATTATTCAAAATAATAGCCCAATATAACAAAACACCTATACAACAATTTAGATCTTTTCTCATATAGCGTAAGCGTAACCAGCGTCAAAATCATTGCGTCTTCGCCTCCACAGGTATAGCACGTCTCTGCTGTATCCGGCTCCCGACCCACAGCAGAACGGTTGAGACAATCTCAGCAAGCACCCTCACAGCAACCCCACACACAGAGCTCCAAACCTGCACACTAACAGCTCCCATAGGCGCCTTAGGGAACGACAAACCCCATTCAACGAAATACGGGAACCAACCGGGCGGGAGAACAAAGACGGGCGTAGAATTGTACCGGAACTGTAGAAAAAGCTTGAGGCCACTCGTGCTGACCCAGCGGGCGATTTTGATGGCCCAGTCGAAGGAGGATTTCTGCGAGCTAAGTGCTTTGTCTATGGTCGTTAGCTTCTATTCTCTGTTTTCCCTCCCTTCTTCATTTGTATTGCAGGAAAGACGTACTTGCAGACTCATACTCCTCGTAGGTCTTATCATGTCGACGGCGCAGCTTGGCCCATTTCGCGAACTCATCCTGGGAGCTGGTGTTGTTCATGTCTCGCTTCAGCTCAAGGGCTTCGCGTTTTAGCCGGGCTGCCTCGCGACCTTGTCTCGATGTCGAGGTTGGTAGCTTTAAATAGAAAATCCATAGCTGTTTCCATGGCAATTTGTTAGCATTCCTGTTCGTCCGAGGATGAGATGGGGAGAGTACGGAGACATACCAGGTTGTCAATTGTCGTTGCGCCAACTGTGTTGATCAGATAAATCGCAACATGGATCAGGAAGAAAGTCAGGACGAGGGATAGCATGATGACTGCGCTGGTCAAGGCTCGCGGCCGTGACGGGCGTCAATTGCGAATTGAACAGGTTCCGTCCGGAACAAGGATAGATATAAGAAACGAAGGAATAATAAGAACAAGAGAATGGAATATCACCGCGAGATAAATGGACAATCTCGCCTGCGTAGGAAGACAGAATAGGAGAATAGCTGCCTGTAAATTAATGACGTTGCAAAAGTTGTGTTTGTCCTCCGCTCGGGAAGATCGAACCTCCGAGAAGTCCTCCACCGAAGCCCAGCAGTCAACATGTCTCTACCACTCTCAACTCCCGAACAAGCTTATGCAGAACTTGCTAAGATATTCACAACAAGGCATGAACACAATCAAACCCTTGAGATTGAAATCCTTCCTCCGGGCTTCGGTACCTTGCTTCATGATGGATGCTCCGTAGGCATCACCAAGAAAGTCCTGGTGGGAGCTTTTGTGGCTGCCAGGCGGGTTTTCTTTGAGAAACAGAACTCTACAAGTACAAAGGAGGAAATGTATGAGGATGAGAATGTGCTGCGGGCTTCAGAAATTATCATACTCTTCGCCGCGGAGCACGCCACGGCTTGTAACTGGCGAAAACGACGGCTTATTAGGATGCTCGAGGCACGGAATGATGATACCCTGGAGACACTAGATACAGAGCTCACATTGACGGCATCTTATCTCTGTTCTCCTCTACATCGACATACCAAGTCCCCGACTCTGTGGCAGCATCGGTTATGGGCACTGCGCCGGATACTTAGTATTCGGGAACTGAGAGAAACACCAGAAGCAATCCGATCCTTACTACAATCCGAATTATCGATCGTCCTGCGCTCTGGAGAACTCCATCCTCGCAATTACTATGCCTTCAGCTACATGCGCCAATTGCACACTCTTCTTTCGAAAACGGGACCCGAAACGGAGGATATAACGATAGCACTCCTCGAACGAACCGTATCTTGGTGCCAGGCGAATACACGGGACATATCAGGGTGGATGTTTGTGCTGTATCTCCTTGAGGCTATACCCGATCGTCGAGACGTGCAAACGCGTGTCGTGGGTACGGTGGTTCGGTTTGCGCTGGATATCGGGTGGACCGGGGAGAGTCTCTGGACGTTTGTTGATTTGGCGATAAGGAATACGGGTGTCGTGGATGCGGTCCGGTGTCTTTTGGATATTTCTGCAGGGGAATGTAATGGCACAGCTCTGCCTGGGAAGTCATGGAAGGCATGGTTGGGCATGGCAGAGGCATACTGGACCACTGTCACTTAGTTCATCTGCATTTGCATTCCTCACCTTCGTGACACCAGCTACAGTTCTACTGTTGAAACATAACATTCTATTTAGTATCAACAGGGGTATAGCCGTATGTCGTATCTTCGTGGCGAAGTCCTGTACCCGGATTTAAGGATACGAAGGAACGCAGAAAACGCCAGCAAATTTGCGTATGCAAACTTTGGAACGCCTCGCTAGCAAGAATGACTGAGTGAACAAAAATGCGCATGAACAAGCTCCCCTGATCCATCCTTCAAAGAATCTGACATCCCGGCCGCGTTTTGTACATGACCTCCAAGTCTTTTTTCATATGCAATTATCCCAGACTGCACTCGACGCAGTATCAACAATGTTCGACCAATGTTTTCACAAGATGCATGTGTGGCAAAGATAGGGCAGAAGACAAAGACATGTAATATTCGATCGGGCGCGTCCGAGTCGGAAGGAGGCTATACAGGTATTTCGGAGGTTCTTATTTCTGACCAGCGGCAGCCTTGCGCTCGTCGGCTAATCAATGAAATAAAGATGTTAATTCATGTTCCAACGCCTCGTGGTGACAGGGATGCAACGGGGGTTCACCAACCGGCCTTTTGCTTTTCACGCATTTTCGCAGCCACATCCTCTCTCGCGCGTTGCTGTTCGGATCCAGTCATGGTGTTCTTGCTTTTCTGTAAGAGCAGAAAAACAATTGTCAGTCGCATTGAAGAAATTTTTGTTGGGGCGAAAAAGGAAGTGGACTGTACCATTCCAGCCATCTTTTTCTGGCTCTTCTTGCGATCGTTTTCTCTCTGGTTTCCTCGAGCCATTTTATAGTATCTCGATGATCACTGGTCGATAGCGAAATATGTGTATAGCACGCTATGTTATGTACAGGATTTCATTCAACAACAATGAGAGGCGAGCAAGGAAATAGGGATGCGATGCACAGCGCTTACCAGGAGAATCGGAACTTGACTAGTGCCGATCCGGCTTTCCCTTTCGGGTCTACAAGTCCGTTCCTTTACTTTGTCAATTCAGTACCTGAGAAATCTACAATACCGTGACATATAGTTGGGGCAGAGAGATCTTGGTAGATGGTGAGGTCAGTGTCGGGTCAGGATAAGGTGATGATATTGAAATGTCTAAAATCTATATATACGGCTAACCAATACATTTCATCGCATCTCAGCAGCGTCAAGGAGCATCTCTATCGCTTCTTCTGCTCCACACCAGTCACATAGCGTCTTAAATGGCATCAAAGTATCGTCGTGATAAGGCCCCAAGCTCTTTTCTCTCCAGTTAACCACCTTGGTCATCAACTGGAATGCTTCCGCATCCCTACTTTGGCGCTTTCGAGTAATAGCGGTGTCGTGCATACATTCGATGGTGAACGGATGATCTGACCCAAGTCTGCGAATGCTGTCCCTCATGACCTCGTCCTCCAATGCATCGGACTGCTCAAGAAAGCCTTGCTGGAGGTAAATATCGACAAGCTTTCGCTTTTCGAGCAGTGTTTCATAATGACTCGGTCCCAGCAGCTCGATGTGATCCTTGATCACATTGCATGCCAATTCTTCGGCTTTCTTCCATTCTTCCATGCTCTGGTAAATGCTCACCAAGTTGCCTTTGGTAATCAGTGTTGCCGGGTGTTTTGGGCCCAGTTGTCTTTCCTGCGCCTCCAAAGTCTGAAGAGTCAATTGCTCTGCTTTTTGCAGTTCATTCTGGTCGGTATAGATGACTGCAAGAGTACTTGCGACATCCAGGGTATCCTCATGGTCTACACCAAGATTCTCTTTCCTCCAGTCCCAAGCGCGATGCATTAACTCCTCCGCCTGCTCAAATTTGTTCATGCGACGGCATATTATCCCCAAATTAGCCATAGTAGTTATTGTATATTTGTGGTCTGCACCAAGTGTCGATTGTCTGGTTTTCAGCACGTCCATCACCATATTCTCTGCCTCTTCGTGCCGTCCTTGTTTACTGTACAGCTTTGCCAGGCACGATCTTATTGTGAGCGTGAGATCATGCATTGGTCCTAACGTTCTTTCTCGGACTTCGAGAACATGTTGGTCTAACCTCGTTGCTTCGGACCACCTCGCCTGTTGTTCGTACGTTGCTGCGAGACCCTCGAAACTTTCTAGGGTTTCGGGGTGTTCCATTCCGAATTCTTTAACGTTTTCCTCAACGATCAGTAGATCTAATTTTTCCGCTTCGTCGTAGGATCCTTGTGTCCACAGGTAGAAGGCTATGCCTTCTTGGAGATATAGTCGTCGTCTCAGTAGTTCGCCGTGTAATTCGGGGATGAATTTGAGAACAGAGAGAGCATGGGTATAATGAGCCTTACAGATGGCTAAATGTTCAAATTTTGCGTTTGGAAATAGTTCTGCAAGAACGTCCATGGCCTGAATTGCCTGATCCTCGAACTTGTCTTCAATAATCAACCACTTTCGCAGAACTAACTGGACCAACCTATGAAGGGAGAAATTTCCCCGTTCATTTGAAGTGATAAGTGAGAACGCTTTCAGAGTCCCCAGAGATTTGGTAAAATCCAGCGGACGCTTAACTTTAGCTTGTATAAGACTCTTTGGAATGTCGTGTTGATCAACGAAAGCGACTAGAGATAAGATCTCTACAGCTTTTGGGTCCTTTTTCTTGATCTGGTCAATCGATATGATCAATGTGGTTGCAACTGCATTTGGGACTTGGCTATCTCTGCCTAATGTCTCGAAAGGTTCTGATAGTAAGTCCATTTCTGTCTCGTCACTATCCTTGTATAGCTCAATGTACTCGTTTATGGTGAGAACATTTTCCTGCATAAATGCAGTAGCTTGTGCAAGTGCTAGCGGCAAGTAACCAAGTAAATTGGAAACCTCATGTATCTCTTCATCGGTGGGTGTATCTTCCGAAAGTGTTGATCTGATCAGGCGGCTCGACTCGTCTTCCGTCATGGTATTAACTTCGACGAGCTCTGGGGAGAGATTTCTGGCGAACTTGACACCTGCAGCACGGTTTCTTGTCGTGATAAGAATCGAGCCATGAGGGCTTTCAGGCAGATATTCTAGTATTGACTGGTCTGTCCCCGTTTTATCCCGTGAGAGCTCTGTTTTTGATGCAAATAGAGAAGCTTCGTCGGCGTTGTCAATGATTAACAACCATTCTTTATGTTCCTTTTCAAGCCAATTCTTTAATAAGGCCATCTTGTCGCAGTTTTCTTCGTCCTGACCTGGAATATTGCATCCATCGGCGATGTTACTGTATCCTTCTCGGAATCGTTCAATGCTGTTTGCATGAATCCAGAACACAGATACATGGGGTAGTTCGGTGTGTATTTGGTATGCAACCTCGATAGCGACTTGCGATTTACTAGGTATACCATTAGCTGCTAGACTTTTGAGACTCGTGATAGACAGGCATACCCGACACCACCAAGACCGAAAAGAGCCACTCGCGAATGTGATTTCCCGATTGGGAATATTCGGTCTCTAAGCTTTCGGATTGTAGGCTCGCGGTTGACAAAGACATCATTGCGCATGTATGGTACCATGACTGTCATTCAACTATTAGCAGGTCCTTGACACCTTCTCTTGCTTGAACTTACAGAAGCTTGGCTCACGTTCTTCAACCAAGTCATCCACCAAAGTACTGCCCAAACTGTTGAAACTTTGAACTATGGACTGCTCTTCAGAATCCATCCTCGTTTTCACAAGGTCGACCAGAAACGCTGAGACGTGTCGGTAATTCTCGTCGTCTTCACTCGCGAATCTACAAATTTCCTCGTGGTTGGCGTTCAATGCTATCTTTTTCTCCCTTGTGTCAGGCAAACCAAGGATGGCAGAGCTTTTTTCGACGATCTTTATCTGGATGAGTGTCCGTAACAGCAGTTTAAAGGGCGAGTTCACTTACCAGATTGAAACTCTTCAACGGTAAAGTCTCATAAAAGTTCAGGTACTGGTACTTCTCTTGTATTTGTTGGAAATTGGAAGAAAGGTTGGTGGCGTATGGGTCATCCTTTTTCAGTGCATTCATAAAAGTATTGCTTGGAGTGTTTAAAACGGCTCTGGCAACTTTAGCAAACACATCCCCAACGTGCGCCAAAGAGCTTCCTCGATGCGGCGTTCCAAAGAAGACAACACCAAAGGTGGCTTTGAAGATTGAGGAATATGCATCACCAAGTTTGGCTTGTACGAGAGCCTATGAAGGATATAATCAATACGTAGTCAAAGAGAAGACAGCCGGCTCAGCCAGTCCTTTGTCCGGAACAACAATGCCTACCTCTTTGACAACAATCCCGCCCAGACTATGAGCAATAAACAAGATTGGACGAGTTTCACAGCCCTATTTACGTATCAGCTCCCGTCTTCTCCACGTATTACATGAGAAAGTAAACCAATACCTTTCTTTCAAGCCATAACCTGCTGAGTAGGTTCTGCGCCTGGTCCTGTATCCCCGCAGCCGAGGATTGGATAGCGACATTGGAGTTATATCCATAAAGGAAAATCCGAGCCTGCGGCAATTGCCTCGGAAGAAAATCTCTCAGCCACAGCTTGCCTCCTGACTCCCAGGTTCGTTCCGCATGGTTCTCTTTGTTTTTGGGGTTAAGGCCGTGAATGGCCACAATGCTGGATTCTAAATCAGCCTGGTGGTGAGCCTACCCGTGAATCCGGGATCTCTTACTCGATGTTTGGTTTTTCGCCGGGGATAAGGGTGCGTAGGAAAGTTTTAAGTCCATTATCGTCGATCTGGCAAACATGAGTTTGGGATTATGGTCTCAGATGTCAATTGGAACGCTTACCATGGTCATAATAAACCGTTACTATGGGTATACGAGAACAAGGCCTCATGGCCTTGTAGTACCAGGGATAGCGCCATTATTAAGGTCATGATTCTCCTTTATCGTATTTCTGCGCGATTGCACCTAGTGGTAGAGATGCATTGAGCCACTGCAAGATGCCATTCTGGGCGGTTCGAACGCATGGCTGACTGGGCGCTTAAACAATCCTTCTCTGAGCAGGAGATATAGCAACCAATAGATATGCTGCCTAAATAGAGAGTGGTATGCATCTGTCTACACATAATGCCGGATTAAGCGCTGAGGTTGCAGAGAACGGCCATTGGGCCATTTGGTGCTCTGTGCTCCGTATTCCGTAGTCAAGCGGCGCTTTCTGTTGCATTTTGTCGGTCGCTGATTATATTTCGAGATTTGCTTTACGATAAGGCCTTGAATTTCAGTTAGGGCACCCATGTTTAACTATGCCCAAGTTAAAGAGAGTACAGAGTACCCTGTAGGTCAGACCACGTGCAGACAATGGCGCACGTCGCTCAGTACCAGACATGCAAAATTTTCAAAGCGACAAAGACCATCAGACTCTTAGAAAGTGGTGCCTATTCTGTCTCTAGTACGATAAAGTAGAAAATGAAACATGGCTCCGGGGGAGAAGGAAAGATTAAGGGCCAATCACCTGACATTGCCCGTTTCGGCTGTCGTCAACGGTGAATCTTAACCAGTCTTTCCCTTCTTTGGCATCGTGTGAAACACGTACAATTTCGTTATTGTTTCATTTTCTGCACGGAATAAAACGCAATGTATTTTGCCTCAGTCTAAGCGCCGTGGAATTTTCACTGTGTTTTCATAGCCAGCGGCAAAGGCCATAGGGCCCATAGACGCTGACCCAGGGAACCATCCGGACAGAGGGTTCCATTCAATTTATTTATTCATGGCCTGAAAGAGCCGCCTTATACGCTCAATAACCTTTGAGGCCTGTTTCAGATTCCTATTGTGCATCCCATTATTGTCCCTGTCCGACAATGGGTCGATTCACTCGGCGCCTATCTGTGTTCGCCCAACACAAAGCGGGCGTCAATAATAAACACTCGGGCTGAATGATTATGGCTCGTTTTTCTTGATAGCCCCAATATTGGGGGCCTTTCGTTTTTTTGTTTTTTTTTTTTTTTTATCAAATTGGCCCGAGGCGTTCTTTTTATACCAATGACACAGCCTTCCCTCTAATATCAAGCAAAAGCTGACTCGACGCAAGACATTTTGGATTTTTTCCCTCTACATATTTTCATGTCCGGATATCGTATCCTGCATTTATCTTTCCTGTCGAGGTTGGTCAGTTCTATTTGCGCTTTATCGATTATGAAGGCTTCATGGAGAGCACGCCTGGCTGGCCCAGGATATGTCATTCTCAATGGAATTCGGGTTATCAACATCATCACTTTCTTGGACATCATTGCTGCCAGCGTGGTGATGCTGGTGAAGATTTCGCTAACGAGCGGCTTTTTCTTCTTCGAGGCCGTCACACATGCCGTGACAGCTGGCGTGAGCAGTAAGTAGAGCTTGTTATATGACCTAGAGCACTGTTAACGACGAATAGTATTCCTTCTCATTTCCGAACTCCCCTGGTTATGCAGCTACTTCGATCGCGACTGGCCATTACTCGGACATAATTCTGGATTCATCACCTTGGGGATAGCGATGTTCATGCTTGGTGCCGGGGTGTTGGGTAATCTGAATCGGAAAGATATGGGTCAGGACCATCTTGGTATGACATTTTGGCAGATTGTTCTTTCCGCAGGGGTCCTGGCCTTGGTCATGAGCACAATTAACTTTGTTTCGGTAAGTTCTGTTTATTCTCTCTAGACGAGCAATACTAACTATGTCCGCAGAGCTTCGTTTTCGCAGATGGTGAGAAAGGCGTCACCGCACGCCAAATTCGAATCTATGGAGCGGTTGCAGGCCAGAAAGGAGAGATTCCGCGAACCGGCAGTCACAGAACATTTAGGCTCAGCATGAAACGCGAGGATACCTTACCGATATACAGCCCTCAAGCCGGAAGGAAATCGCCAACTGACCGAAATTCAACACGTTTTCCTTTGAAAATCGAGAAAATTTCGAGCCCCCCTCCAAACGATGCAGCATCGTCGAGATATTCGAGAGATGAATCCGGCATTGCGCCTCCAGATCTGGCACATCATCCAGCTTTGAAGGGGGAATATATCTGAGTGGTTACGGATTGGGTAGGATAAAATAGGATTGATACCTTGGACTGATCTGTGCGGGCGTTATGATTGACGGCATGTATACCTCTTTATTTTCTTTCTTTGGCAGGATGGCTGGACCGTATGCCAAGTTTGTTCTTAATGTTCTTAATTGTATTTGTTATAGACCATAGCGCTTATTATATCTGGGTATCTGTTGTGACGGTTAGCGGGGCGCCAGAAACGGCTCCCATTGAACTGTGCATCTGCCGAGCCCTACCGCCTGCCGTTGATGGGAATACCATTGCCCTTTGCGGTATGGCGCCTACTGTATCAGGGATAGCGCCGCATCACGCTGCTTTTGGGCCGCTCACATGCCGCCTCAACGCATCCATTGCATCTATAAAAGCCCGACATCTCCCCTTCAAAGGACCACACTCTTTCTCTTCCCTTTTCCCTTCTCCTGTCTGCCTTGTCCAGTGCACTGCCCTCTTACCAAGATGCCACGTTACCCGACGATTTGTCCTTTTCCAGTATGGCGCCGTCCACTCCCCTCGGGGTGGCCGACGGGTCATCTGGACAATTGAGACATTGAGACCTTGTTACTGTCCCTTCATTGGAAATTGAGTTATCCACTTCATCTTGATGCTGTGCTGCTGCTTACTATTGCAGTTATGGGCCCCTTCACGCGTCTGCCAGCTGATCAGCGACTTTTTGAGTTGCTTCCAGCCATGCTATCCTATTTGGGCTTTCCCTTGAGGACTTCTGGATCCTCAGCTGCCTTGCTTGTTGTCTCTTATCTCAAGATCTCATGATCGCTTCTTCAGCCAGGCTCCCAAGATTCTACATGGGAAAGGCAACTTTCTGGTTATCTGGTTACCAGATCTGGCTGTGAACTGGGTTGTGCATATCCCCTCCACAGCCGTCTTTCGACCCCACCAGGATCAATTCATTTACGTATCCTCGCCATGTTTACCAACCAATAGCGAAATTACCACATCCTTCTCATTTCAGCGTGTATGACATGCGAGGCTTGGAACTGCAACATCCAGATGCGATTGGCGCAGGGCACCGGATCTCGGCCTCCAGGCGTCACCAGTAGATGAAAATAGACACATCAGCAGATGAAATTTTCAGGACAAGAGAAATTCGCCTCATTGTTTCTGCTGATGAGAAAGGTGGAATGGTGAACTTGACGGACTGAGAGCAAGTATAAAGAGGACAATCAACGCCGCAGAGGTTGCAACATCTCAACTCAATTCTCCCACAACCCGCACTCTCCCCTTCAGCTTCCACACCCCTCCTCTTTCTGTGACGGCTCAGCTCAGCGCCTCTACTGACAAACACCATCAACAAGGCAAACGATGCCAACAGAGCAATCAAGACAAACAGTTGCTTAGTGAGACCACACACAACCGTATAAGACTTCTTCGTGTAAATAGGTTTTCCTCCTCTTTTCTTTTCCTCTTCAGATTCAATATTCTCGTTGATGGCTACAATAGTTTAGATAGGAATATCAGTTCGTTATTATCTACTATTCCAAGCCCGTGACACTTTCCAAATCACCTGTCTGTTATGATATACCCCTAAACATCCCCATCTCCCAAAGTATGCCCCCTACCTTTCACATGAACAACTTCAAGCCGTGGGCTCACCCTTTGGAAAGCCATTCTCACCATGCGAATCACCCAATCCATATACCCCAAGAACCCGAAAAATCCCCTCGCCCCAAGCCTCATCATGATTCCCTTCCAAGCACTTTGTCACTTCCTTCGGTAGCTACACATGGGGTGCGACTGTATAAATGTTGTTGATGGATGCAATTCAGACAAGGAGGGGGGGGGGGAGAAGATGAGATTTCGAGCACGATTTTATTCAATACTGATAGAATGTGTTAACTCATGGCTTCCTTTGGCAATTTGGAGCCCTACACAGTGAGGAAATAGATCAGGCAAAGCACTGAAATCTTCAGGTAAATAGCAGCCAAAGAGGGCCTGGGGAGCTCCGGATCCTCAGGATTCTGAGTCTCAACTCAAGCATACTGTTACAGACCTTGTCGTTGTCGGAATATAGAGGTTCCTTACCGAACAATACCAACTGATGCCTGATTGATGCCTCGCTGATATCATATGGCGCAAGCAGCGTATTTACTCTGCTATTACTGCTTTTGAAACCGCACAATCGCTTAGTATACTCTATAAGGTAGTTACTGTCTTATATAGGATCCTAGATAGCACACTTTTGCAAGAATTAGAGACCTCAACCATATACGCTTGATACGTACTTTCAACCCTGACTAAGCCACATCTCCGACAGTCGTGTCAGACTCACGTGATTATGCGGGGAGTCAAGGCAGAATCATTGGACCATAAGCTATGGTGATAATGCAGAACACGGATCCAGAAGATCTGAAGCGGGGTCTCTCGGATCGTAGCTCAAAGGGGAAATCGGGAGTCGATTATTCCAGACTAAACGAGGTCTACATGGAGATAACTAGTTTAACGAAGAGCTGTATTGTCTAACAAATGTATGTGCGCATACGCAGGTGATTGAGTGCTTAATCTACAGTATGTGTGCGCACGTCGACTATAAGAATCTCCTGGCCTCGCTACTCGGTATGGTTAGTCATTAGCGCGGCGACTGCCACTATCCTAGATGGAAGTCTTGGAACCTTCAACCCATCTGCCTTGTAATACACCCACTTCATATCTGTTGTCTAAAATGCCATATTATGGTCACCTTGGGACACTTTTTGCGAAACCACATAAGTGGGCCGCCCTCCATCGAGATCTCCTACGAGTAAAGGAGGATCAAGTCTCTTCAGAGAGATTAGTTGGCTCCACATATCTGCCGCAAGATGGCGATCAAGGCAAAGCACCCACTTGCCTTTTCCGTTCTGGTCTATCTAACGTTAATCTAGAATTTGAAGCTATCGCTGCGAATTTTGTCAAGCCAACAAGGGAGGATTTTCTTGACGGCACAGTCGACTTTAATTACACTCAGAATCCTTTCTGGAATGTCTTTTCCATGCTTGGACAGATGATGCAACTGGAAGAAGAAGCAGAAGGAAACCAACCTAACAGCCAATATTTTCGAATGTCGAAACATACAATGGAATATCTCATCAATATTCTTCTTGGGCAGGTCCACTTGGCCACGTGGTTGTGAGTGTGAATCCTCTCTACATGGTGTATATCATTGATAAATGCTCATTGCTGTCAACTTAGTGTCTTGCTTCGTGACTCAAACATCAGTTTTCACATCCATTCCTGCGGTGTTAAGGGTGCTTTGAAGCCTGCAGGAGTTCTCAGCAGGTGCTCTGACCTCAGAAACAAAATCACGCTTCCAGTTGCCACATTTTCGGTTAGTCCCAACTATTAACCACTTCCAAGATTACTTACTGAGGTTGATTCACAGGTGATGTGTCCCCAGAAAAACAAAGACGCCATCTGCCATGAAATTCCGCAAATTCTCATACAAGCTATATTAACTTTCCAAACGAATCCAACACTTAAAACCCACCAGCCATTTGCACTCCGGATCGATGGAACCAAACTTCAGCTTAGCTCTGCCCTAATACCTCAAACATACATCCAGAATCTCAGTCGCGGTAACCCACTTACTGGAGAGCTTACAATTCTTCACTCTGTGGCTTATGATCTACGGGACCCCGAGGAGCGAAGGGAGATCTTGAGACTTCTTGTTGGTCTTCTGAGATGCCTTGATGCTGTAGATTTTTAAATAATTAACATAATATCACTCCATGCCAAATTGCTATTCGTGGAGTATCTATTTGGACAGTGTATCATACAGTGTTTAATATGAAATAGATTCATCTAGCTCATATAGTTTCTGACAGTTGCCACAGAACAATATCCTGCAATATCTTCCAAACAGAACTTAAGTAAAATAGATCCTCCCAAAGGATTCACCCTAGTCAGAAGGAAGGCCATTTTCATATAGTGATGGCATGCTGCGTGGTGAAGAGTTCGGGCAAAGCTGCAGCAAAGTGTACAAACAAAGGTTAGCAAAGATGAAGCATCAGTGAATGCCTGCCACAAAGGGATCGCTTAGGCACATACGCATACAAATCTCTTTGGTTCATATTAGACCGTAAGTTTCTGCCAGATCCTCCTTCCGTCGCAACAGGGACGTCTTAAAAATTGCAGCCATCCATTGTTTATTTCTTCCCATGGGCCTTTTGCGATTTTTCAGTCCGTCCTAGCCAATATCTGGTATTTCAATGCTATATTCTCATGGAGATTGCCCTTGACGTTGCCTTCTAAATACCTGAAAGACTCATCGCACAATGCATTTCGTTCCCACAATCTCTGAGATCACTGAGAGCCGCTCGAACGGAAGCCTTGTCAACCTCCCCAGCGAACCCTCCGATCTGACCAAGAAAGACCTGTATGTGTCGGGATCCAGGTGGGGGCAAACGCACCTTAAGGCTCTACGGGTACAGCTCATTGAGCCTGTCTCACCAGAACGGATTTTCCCCTGCCAGTTTCTCCCCGCGTCTGACGACCCAGGTACGCAGCATGACTGCCGTTACGCCCGGTATGCCGCTGACCATATTTCCTAGTTTTCACAGAATTAAGAACTGAAATAAGGAAAGCCTCTGAGGACACTCTGAAGGACTGGTACCTTGTCGCCCCCGAATTTGTACATAACCGTTTTGCCAGCTTGTTCGATGATCTAGCAACACTCATGACTACGAGGCCCGCTCATATCGAGGGCACGATCGCATACAAGCGCAATCCAAGCCCGGAGTCAGACTTATCCACAGAATCGAACGAAGATCAAGATGAAGAGCCCTCACGCTTGGCCTTTGGTGGTATAATAAACCCCATCGTACTCCACAAAAGCTTCCAACCGATCAAAACCGAGCACTACGTCTACGTAATCAGGCAGTATGCACCTGGTCGCTTTCTTTTTCTCAATATCTGATGGAAAGCTAACTTCTGCTTAGCAACGTCTCATCTACTCCCGTGCAGATCTGGTTGGGGGAGAAAGATCCGGTTACAGCAAAAAACGATGGCAGCCTGTTCCTGTTGCGTGGGGGAAAATACTCGAAGTCGGGCAGATACGGTGTCGTTCCTGTGGTCTGTTTTGAGGTAAGGAGTCTCTGCTGCCAATTTAAGCTCCCAATCCATTGCTCACATCTCGTATCAGGCCAAACGGCGTCATGCCGCGGGGGAGTACGCGAGAGCTGGAGAAGAAGAGCGTTGCTGTGAGGATATTCTGGGCCAAGAATTTGCCGAACTGCTTGGCCAGGTGATGATGCAGAGCAGACAGGTCTCAGAGGATGATGGTTGGGTTGATCAGGAGGCATTTGTAGTTAACATACACGGGACGAGGTTAAAGATCACGGCAGCACGATTTGAAGGAGAGTACCTTGCAGCGGTTAACAGCAACACCATGCTAGTTAGTCTGACTTAGTGGGTGCGGAGAACATATGCTTTGGACCTAAGGAGGGTTGAGGGTCGGATCGAAGCACTGAGATGGCTCTTAGGGTTGGTGCGATATCTCTACAGTGGACAGGCGGAAATCGCTTTGCTGAAGAAGGTTTTGTGATGGGGGCACGCGACTACAGCCGCGCGATATACAGTGTCGAAGACGAAGAGGAGACGGGATCGAGTCGAATTTGCAGCAGCCAGTTTAGGCAGTCCAGGAGTCTCTTTGCAGTAGCGTACCGGTCCGGGTGATCCGGACATCAGATTGTCGATTACCGTTCAATATTCTATGATACCCATGAAAAGCGGACAACGATACAGCTCATGAGATGTAGTTGTCTTCTTTGAATTACAGACGCCATCCCTTGTTGCTTCTTATAATTCAGACTGTTCTATAGTACCCTAGTGGTAGTGTGATAGAAAGATCTACAAGGGCCTATGTCGTAGAGGAATATTCAGTTGAATTGACCAGAGACGGCGGAGCTTGGCCATCAGAATACATTAACTAGACACCCAACATCCCCTGCACCTCCGGGTCACACACCAACCAAACCGGTATATAAGTACCGCCTACTCTGGGCTGTTGACCTCAAAAATCTCCACTTCATTGAGCAAGTGGACCCACTGCTGATAAGCCCGTGGGACTCAAATCTTGAGTCCAAAGGGCAGCCAACTACCCCAAAGGTACAGGCCAGAGAGGAGTTTCAGAGATGGCTTGATTTCATCCCACCACTGTCAATGGTTGTCTATACAGATGGGTCCAAAGGAAAAGAAGGCACGGCCGCAGGAGCTGGCTGGGCAGGCTACTGGGGAAACAGCAAGACCAAGATCTTCAGTGGACATGCAAAGCTCCCCAATCACGAGATCTTTGATGCAGAGGCTAGAGCGGCCCTGCTAGGCCTACAGGCAGCCCTTAAAGATCCTAGAACCCAGCACTCCACAAAAATATATATCTGCCTGGACAACCTGGAACCAGTACAACAACTCCAAGGCCAACCCAAAGGATCAAGCCAATCGATTTTCATGAGCTTTCAAGAAGCCGCCCAGACATGGCCGCAACACCCTAGAGCACCCGGCATACAGTCAGGTACAGTACAGGTGAAATGGGTTCCTGGACACACACAGGCATTGAAGGAAACAAAGAAGCAGATAAGGAGACTAAGATGGGTTGCCATTCTCCCCTGGAGCTCCCTCCTCCACCCGCCCCAATAGCGGCTGCCAAGCGGGCAGCCCGGGTACATTGGCAACGGTTTGCACAATTCTGGGCGGAAAAAGGTCCCAAACGTTATAAGGACCTTGGCATGGGCATAGAGAAACGGCCACCAGAGCTCCACCTTCCCCGAGCAGCTCTGGGTCGCCTCCTAGCTGCTAGGAGCGGCTATGGTGACTTTGCATAGTACCATGAGCGCTTCGAACATGATGATGCCTTGCTGACATGCTCATGCGGCCGCAGAAAGGAGCCCACCCACCTTTGAGATTGCGAAACTCAATGATAGCACAAAAGACGTCACATTTTCTTTGAGGGTCTTTCAGGTAGAAAAGTTCAATATCACAATAGCAGACTGAGTCCGGAAAATCTTTTAAGGTAATGTATTTGGGAAGATCACTTTGGAAAGCATCATGCTGTTTGCGTTTTCCCAAGGATGAGTTGTTAGGCAGTGAGATTTTCTGTGGGAGCATGATGTCAGGTTGGGTCCCGGTAATGGCAGACCAGAGCTGGACCGTGGCAAATTGAATGATCATACTTTCGTGACCAAAAAATCTTGAATGGACCCAGTGATGTTGGCAGATCACACAAAGACATCTACATCTAGTGCTCTTATCCTTCATTCGTCAGAGGACCTTGCGCTCAGCCGGCAATACACAGTCAAGAAACTATGTCCTAATTAGCCTGCCACTTGCAAGAACAAGGAAGCATTCTTACTCGTTGCATCTGTTTACGGGCGTCTTCACCAATGTGGCGACGGGCAAACAGCTCGAAGTATTGACAAAGGCAGCGCCAGTATTCATCATATGACTGAAGCACTTTATCTCATGATGTTCTGTACACCCAGTCAAAAAAGTTCATGTAGATTGTTTGATCCTCCAAAAGAAGATAGTCCACATAGTCCTCCTTTGACTGAATGCAATATATATTCTCATGTTATTCCCAATCACAAGGATTTTCCCAATCAAGTGAATACTCACTTCCGCCAATAACGCTCAACAGCAGCAATACCTTCCAGGGTCTTTGGCTTGAAATTTGGAGGGAGCCATTCAAGACGGCGAAAATGTTCCAGTCTGGCTCGAGTTTCCTCACAAAGAATGGGATCAGTCCAGTGTTGGTGCTCATCAGTCTGAGCCGAAGGCATGGGTGCAGGTGCCATGAAGAAGGCCAGTATAAAGATCAGGGTTTAGATTTTGTGTTGTGGGACAAGGTTGACTTGGGCTGTGGGGAACAGGGACAAGGAGAGAGAATGGAAGGGTGTGAAGACACCAGAAGAGAGGGAGGACGAAGCATCTTATAGGCGCTTGACCAGGTGAACAGGGGAGGGATTTGGCTGTACAAGGGAGCCATTTTGGGAGTCGTTTTGGTCGCGAGTAGAAACGGGGGGAACAACTGAAGCGCCAACATCAGAAGTGGAGGATGACTGACGACTCTGGGTGGGTGCAAAATAGTGTGGTGTGGGCAGTCAAGCAACGGCTCGACATCCAAAGTTACGGGTGGAAAGGCGGCCGTTCCTGGCCTCAAAAGCGGTCATTTTCGGCGTCAATTCCACGAGTTCTTATATTCTAGATGTAAATTGTAAACAAAAAACGCTTGTAAACCAGAATAGAGATTCACTAAAGTCACTGAGAATTGCTTGGGGTACTCTTTATTACGATGACACGAGCCCAGCTTGGTGTTGACATTCCAATGCTAACCTTCCCTGAATGGAGCCTCACACAACTGTTTCATGACACCTCTGTGTGATTTAAAAGGTGAACTTTCTGTTTAAGCAGCTTCACCCCACAGATATTACACTCAACCCCTTTGGTTTGCCAAGGAGGATTGACATGTTTTTGTAGAAAATGCCTGGTGATTGAACCGGGTGTTGCATGTTCCACAATCCAATTCTTTAGCAGGAGATTAGCGTTCCCCAGACAAAGAAAGCAGAGCTTAGGTCGCTCTTCTGGAAACTTGATCCATACAGATTCCATTGCTTGGCGCAGGGTAATCTCAGTCTCATCCTCTGAGAAATGCTGTTGCCGTTTGGCAGGAGGACAGGGTTCATCATTGTCAGGTGCAGGCCGGCAGTGAGATTGGCTGGCCTGAGGTGTGGGCCGCCCCTCTTCCACAGGGCAGAATGCAGTCATCGCATTAATCGCGTTGATCCAACGCTGATACTCTGCTTCAAGGGTGGCACCCGGCATGCTCAAGGTGGTGTCAATCACCATTAGATGCTGCGGAGGCATAAGACCCTTGTGCTCCAAAGCCCCCATTGCCTTGGTATCCACCAGCTTTCCTGCCAGTTGACATTCAAGGTCGATCACAGGTTGCTCATTCTGATACTGTTCTAGATTCTCCCAGATCCATCAGTTCCGCTGTCATTGCTTCTCATTACAAAGTTCACAGATAGCTTTGTTATACTTCCGCTTTGCTTCCATCATTCGATCCTGGAAAAGTTCCAGCTTTTCCTGTAGATGATGATGGTGCTTGGAAAGCGCTCCTTCATCAAGGTGGCCAAAGGCAGTTTGCCACGCCATACTAACACTGTCTAACTTGGCTTTGTAGTCATCCCATGTCCGCTTGCGTTTATTTACTGTGTCCTGCCGTGCACGAACCACAGGGAGCCAATTAAAAGATTTAAATTCTTCAGGAGAGAGCTTATATGGTCGATTCAGGTCAATTGAGGCGCTCAACGAGCATGCAAATCGCATTAATGGTGTTTGAGAACCTGTTTTGCGGATAATTCCCTGAATGTCAACATCAACATCCACTTCATAATGTCGGATGAAGGTGCGGATATCTGCATGCTGTAGAATGGCGTTTTGGAGGGCATCAGTGACTTATTCTATCCATAGAATTAGCTACTAGCTGAAGGGCTCATGAAAACTCACCACTGCTGTTGAATTCCTTGGCTCCAGCATATCCAAGGAGGTACAGCCTGGCAACTTGATCAAAGCCTGTGATACTCGCCTCCTCAACGCATCTATGATTGCACCACAGACGCCGTCAGTCTCTTCTCCAGGGCAGTTTGATGTCCAGCAGTTTCCCACACCACCTGGCAGAACACGTACTTATCTAGTATTTCATCCTTTAGTTTCAGTTCCTGCTGCCCCTTGCCATCTAGAACCCCAAGGCTGTAAAGTTTCTCCAGGATATCCAGTACTGGCCCAGTTGTAGAAATTTTCTTGAAGCCTATTGATATGAAAGAGCATACTCAGCAAGCATACATGCGGACTGAGGACCAGAGTCAGATCAAAGATAATTTCTGGAATCTTGAACTCATTCCTATCCAATTCTGTCAGCCGACCGGCTCCCAAGGAGCTACAAGAATAAGAACACCTATGCAGCCTTCTTCCCAAGGAATTTCTTTGTGAAGTCCGGCTTCAAGGGAAAAAAAAAAAAAAAAAAAAAAAAAAAA